GTCAAAAACTCACTGAAGAATGGTTGTCACGAAACGACAAGAACAGGCAGTTGAAGTAAGGAGTAACAATGGCAACACATTCAATAGAGTAGGCAGGGCGTGGCCTACTACTTAATGTGGCCGGACTGTGAATCCGGCAGGTTAAGCCATGAGAAACAATACCAACACGTTAAATACAATAGATCTGACGTGGCCAAGTGTTTAGCGTGGCCGAACTGTGAATATGAAGATTTGTGTTTCGCGTACCGTTATCGCAACAATGCTATCCCCACTTTGGGTGCGTTATAAAAGTGAAGGTCAAATTCCTATGTTCAGTCTGACATGAATAATTACCATTTTATGGGAGGCGTTGTTCATTAATTGATCTTCCTCTGGCCTGGCATCGCCTGGTGGTTAGGACATTCAAGCCCCCATCTCTGAATATACTAGTTCTTTCACCCATCGGAGCGTTATAATGTGTCGGTTAATCCCACTGTTCGAGTCCCCCATCTCCGAATATACTAGTTCTTTCAACCATCGGAGCGTTATAGTGAGTCGGTCAATCTCGCTGTTCGTTGGTAAAAAAAGTAGCCCAAGAGTTGGCGGAGGGTGGTGTTGACTATCGACCTTCCCTCCAGCCTATCAGATACAGTTAGTCATGAATAGTCCTTGTGTAGTTTTTCGCGAAACTTCCAAAACAAACAAACTTTCTGGAAGTGTTTAAAATCATGGTTAAAACGAGTCCCAACAACAGAAATTTGTTGTCAATTAAACACTTGTTAACACTAATAAAAAGCTATATCTTTGTTGTTAATCACAATGAGATACCTGTACCGTGTCTACCACGAATATCGAAACCCGGTTTTTAGAGATATGAGTCCCCAGACTTACCGTGGACCCAAGTTATAAATTATTTTTGTTCTAGAAAAAATTCGAAAGGAAGTTAAATATAAACAAATCTAAAAGAGACCTTAACATTTGAAAATTAGATTAACTCTCGAAACGATTGAAAATGATCTAAACTCTTAGACCCCCCCAAAAAAAACAAACAAACAACAACAACAACAAAAAAACATTGCATTAAAATTACTTCTTGAAAATTTTCGAAATGTTGTTAACACTAGAAACAAGCCCCCCCCCCCCCTCAGTGGCACAGCGGTATGTCTGCGGACTTACAACGCTAGAAACCGGGTTTCGATACCCGTGGTGGGCAGAACACAGATTGCCCATTGTGTAGCTTTGTGCTTAATTCCAAACAAACAAACACTAGAAACAAACTTGTAAATTAAGTTAACTCTTGAAAAACTTGAAAATGACGATAACGACTGAAAAATTTGGAAGTTAAATTAACTCTCGAAAACTTTGAAAATTATCTAAATTCTTGGACCCCCACCCAAAAAACAACAACAACAAAACGTTGCATTAAAATTACTTCTCTGAAAACATCAGAAATGACGCTAACACTAGAAATTTTTCGAAATGTTGTTAACACTAAAAACAAACTTGGATATTAATTTAACTCTTGAAAATTTTTTAAATGAAGCTACTTCTCGAAACTTTTGGAATTTACAAGTTGCACAAGGGCTACCTTCGTTTAGTCGTCATTAATGTTGAAATGACAACTCTTGGAGTACTCTAATCGAAGAGTGGGATTTGACTGTCACTTTTATAACGCACCCAACGTGCGGAGTGCAAATTTGCGGCAACGGGACGCGAAGCTTGGAACTTCGGATCAACAGTCCAGTAAGTTAAACTCTGGTCTGCTCCTGGCTCTAAATTTGGAAATGAAATTAGTCAACACTCAAATAAGTTTGAAACGAATTAACACTTGAGACATTTCTAAATGTCTAACAATGTCAGCAAAGGTCAGGTAAATCTAAATACATAAATTAGTGAATATTATACACTACTGGAGCTAATGTATTAAAATAAACTGATGTCGTTCATTCACTTCCCGCACGTACACATATCATAGAAACAGTGTGCGCATGCTCAATCTTTGAGCTTACGCTTCTCTTTCTACAAGATGTAGATCTGCGGGATATACGAGCGCACGTGAAGGTGTTACTAACGGTGACATTAACAATTTGGAAAAACAATAACACATTTTTGTTTCTAGCATGGAGGATGGCCAAAAAAAGGCTTCTGAAAACACATGTTAGCTCTACAAACTTTTGTTTCTGTCTTAAAGAATTTTGGGTAAAAAGGACACGAAGCGAGTCCTGTTTATATACTCGAAATCATGTTGTTTGCATATGAATTTTTATGAAAACAACATGATTTCGAGTATATAAACAGGACTCGCTTCGTGTCCTTTTTACCCGCTAGAAACCTGGTTTCGATACCTGTGGTGGGCAGAGCACAGATAGCTCTTTGTGTAGCTTAATTACAAACAGAATCCTCTAAAGCCAATTTTAAATGAATAATTAATTATTTATTTATTCAAATATTTTATTCGGAATATACTTAAGAGTAGATATACAAATTTTTTCGGGGACTCTTTAAGAAATTATTTTTTTAGAAACCTGAAGAAGGCCTCGGCGTAGAAACAAAAATGTCGTCCACTCCAAAACTTCGATACAATTGTCACAGCCTAAACCTCTTCGAAAACAAATTTCAATGTTGCTAAAAAAATTTCAAAAATATCGCACACCGAAAATATATCATAATTATTAATTCACTTGGATAGAAGTTACATAATTTTACGGAATTAAGGACTAATCGTTACTATGGTAACCAGTGACGTATCTCTTACCACGCTACAACATCAAGTTACGGCAATTACCATTGGTCGAAATTGGCTGAAGACAAAAAAAAAAAAAATAGAGAAATTACTCTTTTTTAATAATATGAAATTATCGTTGTTGTTTTTAGCACGAAGCTATGCAATGGGCTACCGGGCTCTTTCCGTCGGGAGGAATCGAACCCCGGATTTTAGCGTTGTATGAAACTCTCGAATTTTTTTTACGATATTATCGATATGTCTATTAGTGAACACGAGGTTTGTGTATCTATTATCGAAACGTTGTTGTTTGTTTTTTTTAATTACGTATAAAGACACGTCAATAGATTTTGTTTTAAAGCATCAATGTGATAAAACAATACGTACGTCCACACTCACTGTTTAATTTTCTGATAATAGTTCATTTTGTAAGTCTCTCTGCCACCTTCCCTAATATGAATATTGATGATGACGTATTTTGTGATGATGGCATATATACACTAAAGCCATCTCTCGCCATCCCCAATTTTGAACTACAGACCAAAAGGGAAAGCTGCCGCTCAGAGGGCTCTATGACCAAACATCCACTCTTAAAACGCACATACAGCTCAAAGTGTATAGAAGATTTTGCGGTATCGCACGGGTTCGAACCCGGCTCCCCAACTCCGAAATCCAGAGCTCTACCACAAGGTCAACCCGCGCCCTGTTGAGAAGATGTAAGACAGCTAGTCATCACCACCCACCGCCAACTCTTGGGCTACTTTTTTACCAACGAATAGTGGGTTGACCGTCACATTATAACGCCCCCACGGCTGAAAGGGCGAGCATGTTTGGTGTGACGGGGATTCAAACCCGCGACCCTCAGATTGCGAGTCGCGTGCCTTAACCACCTGGCCATGCCGGGCCTATTGAGAAGAGCACAATAAAAACATTTTTTACGGATTAGTAAGACATACTTCTAGAAGTGAACATATATGCCAACCTTTACATAATGAGTTGTTAATATATCGTGATAAACTAAAATAGATATAGAAGTTTTGCGTTGTAATTGTAATTTAATCAAATCGCTCGTTGATTACAAATGATTAGGACTAGAAAGGTCTATATATTGAACGATAAAAGATTCATATATACAATTAAAACAACGCCACCATCATCAGAAATATGTTAAAGTTTTCAATGAATTATTTATTGTGTAATTAATTTAGTGTTGCATTCCTTTTAATTTTATACATTACACAAGTGCCATTTTAAATTAATTAATAATATATTTCCTTTTCTTGTGTACCCAGATAGGACAGCAGTAGGCTTACGGACTTACAACGTTAAAATCCGAGGTTCTATTCTCTGCGGTGAACACAGCGGTTACCCACTGTGGTTTTGCTCTAAAACAAATAAACAGGCCTCTTTTTACACACACACACACCCCACGCAGTGGCTCAGTGGTAAGTCTGAAGGCTTCTAAGGCTAAAAACCGGGTTTCGATACCAGTGGTGGATACGGAACAGATATCCCATTGTGTAGCTTTGCATTTAAGAACAAACACATTTTTCTTATAATGAAGTTCTGAAATTAAAATTGGCTGCCTGTAAAAAAAAAAAAGGGTCAGGAATTACATAATACGTCTTTTAAAATTCAAGTTATCGGAATTTTTCTTCAACACCCATCGACAAGTGCATAAGTTGACCTGTAAGTGCATAAGTTGACCTGTAAGTGCATAAGTTTACCTGTAAGTTGACCTGTAAGTGCATAAGTTTACCTGTAAGTTGACCCGTAAGTGCATAAGTTTACCTGTAATTTGACCTGTAAGTGCATAAGTTTACCTGTAAGTTGACCTGTAAGTGCATAAGTTTACCTGTAATTTGACCTGTAAGTGCATATGTTTACCTGTAAGTTGACCTGTGAGTGCATAAGTTGACCTGTAATTTGACCTGTAAGTGCATAAGTTTACCTGTAAGTTGACCTGTGAGTGCATAAGTTGACCTGTAAGTGCATAAGTTTACCTGTAAGTTGACCTGTAAGTGCATAAGTTGACCTGACTGTTTGACATTTTTAAACATCTTATTCGATACGATTTTCCAAACGTACACAGAAAAAAACTAGGCTTTCTCAAAAATTAATAAATAATAAATCTTCAGAAAATTATTCCTTGTATTATTAAAGATTGTTTCATAAGTTAATTACTCACAATATTTTGTTGACCTCTTTTCAACAGCATAAACTTACTAACAACTAAAGCGTAATGAATATGGAAGATTCACACCGAGCACATTCTAGTCAATAATAATAGATGTTGTCGTCACGCGGTAGAATCCTTCGGAGCCCTGGTCAGTCGATTGGCCATGTCCGTTACAACTTCTTTGAATATCATAGAATCGATGTTCTGACCAAGCATGTACATTAGGAACCAGTCTCCCAGTGATCCCCTTCGGACCACCGTGTGCAGGTGGTCAAGATGGACGGTTCGGAAGCGGAAATTGAGATAGTAAACCCTGACGGGAGGACAGACAACGAGAATGATTCGACACACCAGGACCATGCCGGTCAGCGCTGCAAGGACGATGAACCAGAACCACAAGAATATGTAGATCTTCTCATTAACTATGTTTAGAGGAAGAAGACACATAGCATCGTGAGTCTCGAGGTTTCCAGAGGCACCGTATTTAAATAATTTACACTTAGCCACGCGAGGAAAAATCCGAATCATGGGATCCAGACGATCTTCTTGATCCATTTCGGAGAACCGGATCACTTCCAAGCCATAGGTCAAAAACTCGCCATCAAAAAACTTATTTATGAGAAACATTTGACCAACAACATTGGCAAAGGCCAGGGTTTCACAGATGAAGTAACGAGCAGCATACCAATCGTGGTGGCGCTGGCTGGAGGCCAGATATTCAACCAGTAGCTTCTTCTTTTGTTTCTTTTCTGCCTCTCCACACATTCCGACGTCCAGATCCATCATCAGAGCCTGGATTTTTCCCCCTTCCCACAGCTTCCATAGCCAGCGTGGAATGTAGAACAGAGCAGCTTGGAAGAACAGTGTGAAACACACCCATTGGTAATACTTGTGGTACTTCAGTTCATCCATGGATTCGGTGTTCGATCCTACTCCCGGATATGGAATTTCCTTTCCCACCTCCTTGTTATAGGTATTGGGCATTGAGAAAGTGGTGTGAATCCAACAATATGTGTTTACGTAGGACTCCGTAACCTCTCGGCTTTTCAGGCAGTCAATGGGATCTCCAACGAATTGTTTCATAGACACTACAATAGTGAACGTCAACAATACAAGCACGGTGACGGTGTAATGGAGTCGAAATACAGTGTTGTCGATCCTAACTCGGCTGGTCTTCAGTAAGCTCTTTAAACTTCGTATGACATCCAACATGGTCACAACTTTTTGGCTTTTTGAAGAGCCGCATAAGTCGACAAAGAAACTCTTAGGCTTAGGTACAAATAACGAAGGAGCTTTTAAGAAAACCAGCGTGTTGCCACTCAACCAAGATCGTCTTCTCGATAGAATGTGTTCTTTGCTTTATTTAGAAAATTAATTCATTCCCAAACGCGACACCACTTCGTAGAATAAGTTGTCCGTGAGGTATTTCCTAAGACACAGTTACGAAAGACTACACCTTTCAAACGCGTTTTTCCAACGTTATAGTAAAGTTCTTATTTCCCAACATTCGGGTTTCTTTCAACGTCGAAAATATTGATACCCACCGATCGGTATTCACGTGGGAAAACAAAACTGAAACCTATTTAACAGTACTCTCTTTATTAGCGTACTTTTTTGCTGTCTTTGAAAATAACTAAAGAAACGTTTTAATCATTATTTTTCTTTCAAAATCTACAAAAAAATGAGCGTTAGAGAGGGAAAGGAAATCATTTAGTTTCTCAAAATCAAGCCCCTGTAATACGTAAACACTAAAGTAATAACCGTGTCTTTAGTTAGGCCTATAAGAATGATGCCGTTGGCTGTTACGGGCAGAAATTAGCACCAGAATGAATAGACGTTTACTGATACGACTAACATCCCTCGAGCACGAAGTCTATTTCAATCTTTGAATCCCACTGGCACCGCACGTGATATGACGTCTTCTAAAACAAAAGTAATAGGCTTAGCGCTACCGTAAACAGTGGTGCTCGTAGTGAGAAGTGGTACTAGCCTAACGCACTGGGCTCTTAAGAAATAAACGCTTGCTCACGGTGGTCCTATATTTAGTTTAGAGAAGGGTACGATTCTCTGTTCAAAACTAGAGACGACTCCTTATCTTTAGTCTTGCTGAAAACACCGTGGAATAAATACGCCCACTCGAAATGACACAATACAGCCGATACAAAAAAAAGAGTTTTCAAAATATGCGTATAAGAAACGATAGTCTGATCTCGAGAACTTTCCCGCGTTCTTCCTCATGAACAAACTCGTGGAGCAGTAGTTTGTTTGGTTTTGTTTTCCCACTTCACATATCTTATTGTTTATAGAGAAAATATCAGTTCTAATGGAAAATCATGTTGTAATTCCGCAGACATACCGCTGTGCCACTGGGGGGTCACACATCAGGTTTTGTTTGTTTGTTTGTTTGAAGTTAAGCACAAAACTACACAAAGAGCTATCTGTGCTCTGCCCATCACAGGTATCGAAACCAGGTTTCTAGCGTTGTAAGTCCGCAGACATACCGCTGTGCCACTGGGGGGTCACACATCAGGTTTTGTTTGTTTGTTTGTTTGAAGTTAAGCACAAAACTACACAAAGAGCT